CCCCATGACCCCAGGGTGAGGGGGGTCCCCATGACCCCAGGGTGAGGGGGGTCTCCATGACCCCAGGGTGAGGGGGGTCTCCCATGACCCCAGGGTGGGGGGGTCCCCATGGCCCCAGGGTGAGGGGGGGTCTCCTGGCCCCAGGGTGAGTGGGGGTCCCCATGGCCCCAGGGTGGGGGGGTCTCCCATGGCCCGGGGGGGGTCTCCTGCCCCCCCGGACCCCCGTCCCTGTCCCGCAGGCGTTCGAGCTGGCCACGGGCGATTACCTGTTCGAGCCGCACTCGGGGGAGGAGTACAGCCGCGACGAGGGTGGGCGGGGCCTCGGGAGGGTGTGGTCTTAGAGATGGGTGTGGTCTCTGATGGGTGTGGTCTCAGATGGGTGTGGTCTCTGGGATGGGTGTGGCTTTGGGATGGGTGTGGTCTCTGGGATGGGTGTGGTCTCTGGGATGGGTGTGGCTTTGGGATGGGTGTGGCTTTGGGATGGGTGTGGTCTCTGGGATGGGTGTGGTTTTGGGATGGGTGTGGCTTGGGATGGGTGTGGTCTCTGATGGGTGTGGTTTGGGATGGGTGTGGTCTATGATGGGTGTGGTCTCTGGGATGGGTGTGGTTTGGGTTGGGTGTGGTTTGGATGGGTGTGGCTTTGGGATGGGTGTGGGCTCTGGGATGGGTGTGGGCTCTGGGATGGGTGTGGCTTTGGGATGGGTGTGGTTTATGGGATGGGTGTGGTCTCTGATGGGTGTGGTCTCTGGGATGGGTGTGGCTCTGGGATAGGTCTGGCTTGGGATGGGTGTGGCTTGGGATGGGTGTGGTCTATGATGGGTGTGGTCTCTGGGATGGGTGTGGTTTGGGTTGGGTGTGGTTTGGATGGGTGTGGCTTGGATGGGTGTGGTCTCTGATGGGTGTGGTCTCTGGGATGGGCGTGGCCTTAGGAATGGGTGTGGCCAAGGCGGTGGGCGTGGCCAGAGTGGGCGTGTCTGACCGGCCCCGCCCCCTCAGACCACATTGCGCACGTGATCGAGCTGCTGGGGGAGATCCCGCGGCACGTGGCCCTCGGGGGGCGCTACTCCCGCGAGTTCTTCAACAGGAGAGGTGAGGGCGGGGCCCGTGGGCGTGGCCATGGGTGGGCGTGACCAATGGGCGTGGCCATGGATGGGCGTGACCAATGGGCGTGGCCAGGGATGGGTGTAGCCCGTGGGCGTGGCCACGGATGGGCGGGTCCAGAGGGCGTGGCCAGGGATGGGTGTGGCCCGTGGGCGTGGCCA